GCATTAGCGCTGCGACTGGTTTGTGTAGCGAGCCAGAAACCCAGGCGAATCCATTTGATTTTTACGATCCGTTCGCGCGACCACGCAGGCCCGTGATCAGCTGATAGGGAGCACGCGCAGCTCTGGATATGGATACTAGAAGACATCCTGAGCGCCAACTTCGAACGATGATAACAAAACTTAGATACTAAATTTGAGAAATTTTTAATAATAATTCACAACAGTTTATGTATTATCAGATGCAAATAAATTGGAGTTAACACACTAATTGCCATGTGCTAAAGTCGTTGATATCCTACAAATTTCTAAAATAGTGAAAATTGTATTTTATTTAAATTTCGTCTTAGGCAGATAAGATTCATACAGTTCTGACATAATTTACAATAATTTAATATTAACATTTTTTTTAAACATTTAGAAAAAACTAGTGGGCATGACATCGTGACTTAAACTTAAGGCAAATTGCTAGAACTTTCTCTACTAAATTTATTTTTTTATAAAATGCTTTAAAATTATTTGAAAACATTGAAAAAATTGGATAATGAAAAAAATAGATTTTTTTAAATTGACTTTAAAAAAAACGATTTTTTGTATTTTCAAATGTATTTTTAACTTCCCGAAGGAGAAGTTTATGTTTTCATCAAAAATTCCAATTCGCTAATTTTATGTTTTCTCAACGTTTCAAGCTATTCTGAATCGAATGAGACCAAGTTTGGAAAAAGCATGTGTGTGTATGAACAGATTTTTAGTCGTAAATCGACGTTTACTCAAAAACGGCTGGACCGATTTCAAAAATTTAAAAGTCATTCGATGTATCGGTCGAACCGAGTCTTTGTAAATCGCAGAAAAGTGAAAAAAAATTCGTCCACGTTTTTCTAGTCGAATAGTCAAAAACAAACATTTCGAATCAAAAAGTTGGGAATGATACTGATTAGTTTCAAGTGAAAATCTACCGAGCCGTTTTCTTGTAATTAAATGTTGAAAAAAAAATTTAAGCCGATTTTTTTGGAACCTTTTTTGCAATATATATCATTTTAGAACTTACTAAAATATTACGGCCATACGACAATTTTAAAAATCCATCAAAGTTTGGAGTAAGATTTTTTGACGTATATTGAAATTAAAGTTGATGATTTCTTGGTATAATGATAGAATACTTTATGAACATAGGTCTTAATGAAATACTAAACTATTAAAGTCCTACGGAAACTGGTTCAATTATAAAATTATTGATTTTGAAAATTTGCTTTTAGTAAATGCTCCGAGTTAACGCGTTCGTTCGTTTTCAATTATGTGTAATAAATCCACTCGGAATACTTTTAATCAATCGTAAATTAATTTATTTTTTGTTGATTAAGTCGATTATTTAGACATATCGGAAAGTTCATGTAACTTGCCTCAAGGCAAAATACCAATACCAACTAGTTATATTTTTTGAAAAGTTTGAACTTTATTTCAAGGCAATCGCACTTCGTAGCATTTTTACAAATGAAATTCAAATGATTTGTAAATTTTTAAAATTGGTTAATACATTTTAAGGACCGTTTTTCTAATTTAGTCTAAAAACGACTCATAATAGGTTGCAGTTTTTTTTTTATCTGTATTTCTTGTATTTTTCTTGATATATATAAAAAATTAATATAAACTATAAAAATTATAATTATTATAGTTTATAATAATAAATGCATATATAGATTTATATATATATAATAATAATATATATATATATATACATACACTATATGCAGAAATCGAGTTTTTGAGAGAGACGGAGCATCCGATTTGAATGAAAAAACATTCAATTCATTTAAATTTTTAATTGTTAATACATTTTAAGGACCGTTTTCTAATTAGTCTAAAAACGACTCATAATAGGTTGCAGTTTTTTTTTATCTGTATTTCTTGTATTTTTCTTGATATATATAAAAAATTAATATAAACTATAAAAATTATAATTATTATAGTTTATAATAATAAATGCATATATAGATTTATATATATATATATATATATATATATATATATATATACATACACTATATGCAGAAATCGAGTTTTTGAGAGAACGGAGCATCCGATTTGAATGATCTAAAAAACATTCAATTCGTAATAAGGGGGAGAAGTGGTGATTAGGCAGGTTCAGCCGTTTCAGAGATACAGAGCTAAATATGCATTGATTCAAAGAACTTTCAGCTTGTTTTAACAAAATAATTGATTTTGAAAAAAAAAAATTTTCTCAAATTTTTTTTTCCAAAAAAATTTTTTTTTTCAATATCGAAAATAATTCAGATTTTAATTGTAATTTTGTTCTAATATACTTTAAACAAATAATTTCAACTTTGCAATTTAGTTTATATAATTTTTATAAATATTAGACAATGTTACATTATTTATTTATAATAATCTATTTGAAAACATTTAACATTCCTCGACCATTTCGTTACAGTACGGGAAGTTCCAGCTTATTGCCTTGAAGCACGATGTCAGATGCCACTAGTTTTGCATATAATTATTTACTTAATGGATTTTAATTTCAAAAACTTAAATTTGTCAAAATGGCTATTTATCGTATTGTTAAGAGATTTTAATAAATTCGTTCCATTATTGAACATTTAAAAATACTTTTCTATACTTTAAACTAACAATTTCAGTATACATAATAGGAAGTTTACAGAATATATTTAATTCAAAGTCTTTGTCGAGTGCAAATAGCTTCATAACTTGCATTAAAAATTTAATTAAAAAAAAGTTTTTGGTAATGTAGTTAATAGTTTTAATTATACATAAATCTTACTTTTTACAAAAAAAGTCACTATATCATAAACATTCAGAATATTCAATAAAATGGTATTGTTAAAATTTAGAAGCTTTCAGTTTTTTATAATTTTTAAATGTTTAATTATTAACTTGTCTCATTATATTTGTTTATATAACTATAGAGATTCTAACAATTTGCCTTATTATTAGGGTTTGACCTTGTTCTCAATTGACTGTGCAATAACTTCTATACGTTAAAAATTGATTCTTATCATCTTTTATCTCATTAAGTTAAATGTAAGTACATTCATTTTGATATTGTTTTTTGATATTAGAAAAAAAAAAAAATTGTTAAGGCAGATTTTATATTGCATGTTTATAATTCTGGTAACTTACACATTGCTAGATAGATTAGATTATTAAAATTTAATATTTAAAATCCAATTCTTATTCTAATGACAGATGTGACAATTTTCTTTTATTGTCGCATGAGTTTTGTATTCACGTTTTGCTTTACATGCGAGTTTTGTATTGAATGAAAAATTAGGCAAGCCGTGTCATAGTTTGAAGATTTGGCTATTTTGCTTTTGATTGTAATACATAGTTCATACAGCAGGGTTACTAACTTAGTACCTAATATAATAAAAATAAATGTTGATAAAAATATATTTTTAACTCAAAACAATTCAATGAAAAGAAGTTAAATATATTAATATAAAATATATTTGTCATTATTAGCTTTATAATATTTAACCTATAGTAGAATCAGTCAATATGCACAATTAGTATATTACTAACACTTTTTAAAGCATTATTGTTCAAAATATCAATAAGCGTTTTTAAATAAAAATATAAGTAAAACTTTTTTTTAATAACTCACATTGCAAAAATACATTTTTAAAACTCTGAAACAATTTCTTCTTCTTCGTGCCTTCGAATTGGGTCTCCTTTTAGAAGTGATATGATCATACTGAAAATAATATAAGTTTATTTATTAAAATTAAGTCTAAACATAATATTTTCTGAGTACTGATTTAAATTTAATGCAAGACAAGTCTTATTATACCGATATATGAATTTCATGCACTATTATCTTTTGAGAAAAATGAGATGGTTCTCAATGAATAAATACAATATATAACAATTTATTTACCAGTACAAGTATATAAAAAATAATATCAAATGGTAGCCGAGATTTATCATGCAATCTCGCATGTGCTTCTTTAATTGGCCTCGATTATGTATCTCTGTAGGATCATAAACTCCAAGATTTCCTTTCGGAACTTTAATAAATTCATATACCATCCAGCATATTAATGGTACATTAAATATCATCAGCCACCATTGTCCATTTATTATCAGAATAAATGATAAGAAACAGTGCGCTATTAATTTTGGCATTACCCACGCATTCAATTTGGAACAGCATTCTTGTGCGTTCAAATAATCACATTCTAGATCAGATAGAGTAATTACCTTATGATATATAGTAAAGGAATCATATTTAAGAAGAGTTGTTTGATAATAAAAAATTAAGGTTATGTGACAAGACCTGAAATATTTGTGTAAATGCATCGTCTAGAAATTAAAAGGATACAAAGTAGACAAATAGAAACAAAACAGCTCCAGTTTCCACTAAAGAAAATGTGAACATTAAAGGCTCAGAAATCATTTTTATTATATTGGGTAACTACTTATATAAACTTATTTTAAATAACTTCGTTTATGAATATAACTTAGATTTGATTAAAAAAAACTAGCATATTTGCACATATTTTACATATTATTCTTATATTTATGATTTAATGAAGTTACTAATATAATATTATTTATGTATTTATATTTATATTCATATATATTATCTGTTTATTCACTTCAGAAATTGTTGACATCTATCCGCATCTATTTATGCTTCAAAATAATGCGCCGTGAAGGTAGTTGATTAATTTGACATTTCTGAAACATGAAATAGTTGGCGGCAAATTTAAATGTCGCATAAGAAAAAGTAATTTGAGGGTATTGTCTGCAGTTGTCTGAATCACTAACTAATGAATATTTCGTAAAAACAAGTTAAATATTAATATTAGCTCTATGCTAATATATTAATTTGCCTTAAAGCACGATGGAATGTACCACTTTTGTGTTATCAAATCAAATCAAACAACAACAATCCACCGTCATGGATGCACTCCACTCAGTCATATGCCATATGTCAAATGTCGTAATCTAATTGTAACCCTAGTCTATACACAACAGTAACCAAAGTAACAATAAATTTGCCCGATGTCGTGTGTCAAAAGCCTTAATAATAAATAAGTGCAATTACATTTACTTATGCCACTTGAAAATTATTTAAAATAAAATGTTTCGGCCAGAACCTAAAGTAATTTTAGAAAATGACATTCCAAATGAAGCTATTGCAATTGTTTGCATGGAAGATCTTATGGAAAAGTTGAAATTGTTAAATTATGAAAATGATTTCTTGAAAAAATTGAATATGAAACCTCTTAATAGGTATATTTAATGTGGATGATGTTAAATACATTATATTTATTGTTTATGTTATACCTATACTAGAAACAATTAATTTACAGACAAAGATTGTAAATTAAAGTACTGATTTATTGATTTGCTCATAGAATCAAGAAACTCTAATTTTGGCTTCACATTATACTGTGTATTTTCATATACTTACATTATTATAAATGTTCCAGAAATAGTTTTTGGTTAACATTATTAATATGTGTTATTAATATTCCAATATATGATTTGATACAAGATTTAATTTAAAATGTGATCGTAATTGTTTTAATTATAATTTAAAAAAAACTGACGTGCAGTGCTTTATTGCACTTCTTTTCAAACGATAGCACTTCTTTGATAGAATAGCCACTTGATTGTTTACCCCCAAAATATATATTCAATAGCAATAAAATATTTAAATTTTCAATACCAATTAATAATATAATAATAATTGGGTGTTTTTATATAAAAATTCTGAATTTGCTTTAGAATCTTACATTTTATAATCGTTATTATTTAAAATTTGCAATTGTGGTAAGGGTATGAGTTCTGAAAATGATTAAATTTACAGTATTGTTTGTGGTTTCAGACATTATTTTATCGTGCCTACAAATCCAGGAGAACAATTTTATGTGTTCAGCTCTTTGGCAGCTTGGTTGATAAGAAAAATTGGTAAAAGATTTGAACAGCCACAAGAGTACGATGATCCTAATTCTACAATAACAAGTATTTTGGATGTTCTTAGAACTCTGGTGAGATTTAAAATAATTATTTTTATTTTGATTGCATTTGATTTATATATACTTAACTTATTATGTAAGTATATATAATAATTTATTTCAAATCGTTGTCATTATTGTTCTGCAGTGAATTCATGAATTGTGCAACATTTGTTAAAATCGTAATGTAAGAATGTCATTTATAGACTAGTAATAAGATTTCATTTGATTGATGTAACTTCTATAAATTTATCAATAGTTTCAATAGTCAACTTTTTAGGGCATACCTGTGGACTTTCCTCCTAGCAGATTGAAACAAGGGATTGGTTTTCATGCTGTTACAGTATTGGACAAACTAGCAGATCAAGCTTTGCGTATATCCAATTTTTCGTGGCGCAAGTGAGGAAAATTTACTTATGAATTTTTTTATTATTTCAATTTCAACTGGGTGCCTCAAACAAGAGCACTTGTTCAAATTCTTCTTGCTTTCTCGACTTTCTGAATTGGCATAACCATTCTTCTCTGAACCTAATTGTAGCGTTCAGTGTTTCTGAAATCATTTTTTCAAATTTTTTTGATAGCATTTCTTAACAAAAGATAATAATAATACCTTTCAGTTCAGAATAAAATTATATATATATATATATATATATATATATATATATGAATCTAAAATTTTGGATTCTTTGTTCAAAGCTCTACAAAATATTTACAAATCCAAGACTCTACCATCTAATATATATATATATATATATATATATATATATATATATATATATATATATATTATTTCTGGACTACAAAATTTTAAAATGTAATCTGCAATTTATTAAAACATATTTTTGTAAAATGATTATATACTTACTTTGAAGGCCTGAAATTCAAGCAGATCCGGAACTAGAACCCGAAACCATTGAAGATGATTCTGAAATCATTCTTGATAGAGTTGAAGAAGAAATGGCTACTGCTTATTCTGATTCAGATGATGAAGAAAATTTATTTGACTTAGGACAAACAAATTCATCATCACAGAGTATGCAAAAAATGTTGAAAAAACAAAGCAGTAATGAGGCAATGAGTCTGACAAACATCGAGGAACCCAATAGTCTTGGTTATAGTATAGATACAGAAGCATGGAGACTTGAATTAGAAAGAGTTTTACCACAATTGAAAGTTGTTATCAAGGCGGACCCAAGAGACTGGAGATTCAGACTTGAGCAAATGAAAACCTATAGGGGAGAAATAAAGGATGGACTTAGTACGACTAAGGGTCAACTAAATAAACTTCATGCTGATATATCTTCAGCAATGGAGAAAATTGAAAGTAGAGAAAAGTATTTGAATAGTAACTTACAAGGCCTAGTTGATGAATACAGGTATGTTTTCACAATATTATGTAAATGTTCGGGCGAGAAGAGGGGCTAGATTTAGTGAAATCATGCTTACTCTTAATATAAATAACTAAATAGCAACTATATAATAGTAGTAAATCCTTCAAGAATAATTGATTCATATTGATAGAATGTAATTTAGATTACCTGTATAGAAATTATAAGAAAGATACAAATTTCTTTTTCTTTGAAATGAGTTTCCAAACAAAAATTACTTTATCAAATGGGGCATCAAATCTTTTGTTTGAATATTTATAACTATTCATTATTTGCAGACAGCTTCATGATAAGTTATCAACTGCTAAAAGTGAACTTTTAGCTGCTACTACACAAGTACAAGAGCAAACAAATCAACTTTCTCAACTTTCATCTGATCTTGAGGACATCAAATACAAAACAGAACAAAAAGGATCTTCTATGAATGATACGAGTAAGAAATATTTTTTCCTACTTTGAATAGGAAGAATATTGGTGCTATGGGGGTTTTAGTATATAACAATCAGATTCTGATATGAGTGAAATGTTGTTTCATTAGACAATCTTATCAGATTGCTCAATTTATATCAAATATTAAAATTTATATTAAATGAGGATGATTTATTAATGAAATATAGGTGTACATCCTTTTGAATGCATTGGATCGGTTTCATATTATATTTTATGTTTCATGGTAATTTAACGCTTTTTGTTTTTTTTTGTGGAATAATAATACATACTGATTATACTATATATTTATTACGCCATTTACAAAATTGTTGTAATTATTTTATGTTTAATAATTTTTTTTTCAATTATTTTAGCACCTGTGATGAACATTAAAAAAGCTTTATCTGCTATGAAACAAGAAATAAGTGAAATGGAAGTAGATATAGGTAAATTATTAATCAGATCATTAAACAAAAATACCATTTTGCATATTTTTCTTAAAGCAATCTATTGTTATCTATTAGGTGTAATGCAGCACACACTAATGCACACAAATCTGATTCAAGCTAAACCGGAAACCACAACACAAGATTCAATGAAGTTTGCAAGCATGGTTTATGTAAAATAAGTTATTGTCACTCACTAAAACTTTATATTATTTACACACTATTTATTCATATACCAAAGACTATTTATATAAATTATACAAAAAACTTTGTAATAATGTGATATTATATTTATATTAATAAAATTTATCATTAGGAACTGCTTTTAGAATTTTTTGAAAACAGGTAATTTTATAATCATCGTGAAAGCTTATTTAAAAATATATAGTGAATTTTACTCAAATGCAATTTCACATTTTCTTTTAGCCCTAAAATAGACTTACAGTATTAATAGTATAGTACAGTTATACAAATTTATATAACAGTCAATTTGGATTATTTTTAAAGCAGTTTCAAATCTGACTAAAGTTTAGATTAAAAAAGTGGGATTTTAAGAATTGTGCAGTTTATATCAGAAAACACTGCACAATCATTATGGAGTAAGGATGAGAGGCAAACATCAATAACGAGGAATCTCATATAAAATTAAAAGATTATTTTTATAAACAAGAAAGTGTCATTGTAAACATGTTAGTTCAATAACATCAATAATCAGCGGTTTGCTTTATCATTAAGAATATTTGCGACATCACTTTAATTATAGACTATAGAGATTATAGAGACTATATATATATATATATATATATATATATATATCTATAGAGACTATAGAGATTATAGACTATAGAGAGACTAACAAACTGATCAGAATGGTAAAACAATCGTGTTTAGTCTTCTGATTGCTTTACATATGCTTATTAAACATGCTGCTAAAATTGTAAGGTATGCTTTTAGGTGAAAAATACCTATTGAAAAATATCCACATTTCATTGATTTTTTTTTTGCATTTATTAATTCCGCATAGTAAACACAGAGCGGCGGAAGCAATCGAAAATTCACATAAATTCCACATAGGTGTCACAGTGCTGAAGGCTCGCTTATGGATTGCAGATTGCTACCGCCGCTTACTGGGCGATTAACAAAAAAGTCGATAAAACAAATTCATTTTTACAATCCTTCTGGTATAAGTTACAAACAGTGAAAAAATATAATATTCAAGTTATATTCAATTTTATAAATCAATGCAGTAAGAAAAGAATATATTGAAATTACTTCATGGACGAAATGGATTCAGTTGATGAAATAAAATAAAGTTGTACTACAGAAATGCTTAGCGGATCGCAGAAAAATATTTAAAGGGCCGCATGAAACCCGCTCAGTAAACACCGTGTGACCTGAGCGGCGATAGCAATCTGAAATCCACGGGCTTGCCTTCAGCGCTGTGACATCTATGTGGAACCTATGTAGATTTCAGATTGCTAGCGCCGCTTGGTGTTTACTGGGTGAGTTGTTCATCCTTGACCTAATTTATTCGATGCTTCAATACGAACTAAGCCATTGTGTATAAAAAAATGTTGAGTTCCTCAGAGAAGACAACTGAGTTATAAGCTAGGACTATTATGCTTATTTATTTATGAGCTAGACTTACCAAAGCAAACCAAGCAAGTTTAAGTATTTTATGAAATTTTCAGTTCAATTTTATTTTTCATTTTCATTGAAACAATTATTTATCATTAAACCATCGGCAACTATTAAATACGCAAAAGCAATGGCAAATTCATAAAAATGAAATATAATAGCACTCTTCAAGAAAGCGAACCAAATATTTATCACTGGAAATTTAATTCCGACTTATGAACCCAGTCAAAATAGACACGACAAAACCGTAATATCGGAATAATTTTCATAAAGTTTAAAATTGCTATAGACGTTATAACGTTTTTTACCTTTATGCACCTTGAGGCACCTTAGGCACCTTATTTACCTTGAGGCACGATGCCATGCACTATTAGTTTATTTCGAGGTATGCCAAAATTTTCAGAAACCATCAAAACGTGAAGATATGCAAAAATTTTCGTTTTCGATTTTTGAAGTTTTTGTCGATCCGACCTCTGCGACTTTTTTATTTAAGATGACTTATGTACAAAATATCTATATTTACTTTTTTATCTATGTCCATGCAAATTTCTCCAAGTTGAATGTCTATTTTGACTGAGCGATTCACTTTGCTGATAAATATTATAAACATACTTACCACACCCATTTTTGAATATTGTTTACTTTGCTGTAGCGATGCAAAAGTGTTTGGTTGCATTTGATTGTGAATTCAATTGACATCATAATTCAATACCGTGTTCAAATTTAATCGATTTAAAAAAATTGTAATATATTTTATTATATATATATATATATATATAGTAATTTATATTTATAAATCAATCTTTCCTTATTGAGTCAAACTGTGTTTGCTTTTCTTACTTTTACAAAGCCGTTTTGGATATATTTAAAATGGCTTCCAAAAAGTTTCACTTATAGTCATGGTAGCATTTCACAAAGAGTGCTGGTAATATGAAACTTTTGTTCAAATTGTAAACTCGAACAATATATTATTAAATAAAGTGTTAGTGACTGCAAATCGAGTGATAAGATATGAAGCTTTATATTTGATCAAATAAATGCTTGATTCGAATCAGAATATTTTGTATCGGCACACATCACTATATAACATAATGATATAATATTATATATATAAATACATATTATATATATAATTTCGTTTATGTGTGTGTGAACGGTACCCAGCAAATAAAAACATTGTTCATATCAGTAGTGTTAGTAAAGGTTATTATAACAGTATCAAACAGGATTATAATTGTGAATGCTAGTAAATAAGATTTGATATAAATTATAATATAGTAAACTATTATATATATATATATATATATATATATATAATATTTCTGTTACTGTAAATATATTTGCAATAGTGATTGTTTTGTGTTTCGATTTGGTAAGTTTATTGTTCCTTTTAACAAATTAAAAACATTTAGAAAAATGATACTTATTTAAGATAAATTGTCAAGACAACTCATACAATTATTAAATTTTGATCTGTTCAAAAATAATAAATCATAAAAGCGTTGATATTTGAGGTTATGCATTCTCAACTGTGTTAACCAGAGATAACTGGATGCATATATGTGCACTTTTCTTTTATATGTGACATGTGACTGAATGATATTTTACTTATTCCACATTCAGGTTTGTACACCATATTTTATGTTTACTAATATTTATTATTTTATTTTAGTAACTTTCCAAAAACAAGGCTTTATGTTCTTTCGACGTTTTAAGTCATTCTGAATCGTTTGATATTTAAATTGAACTAGTGGTGCATGGCATCGTGCCTTAAGGCAAATTGTTGAAATTTTCTGTACCAGAATTATACATTTGAAGAAAAAAGTCAAGAATCAATAAATATTGATCAGTAATTAATAACAATTGTTTTAAATATTTTCAAAGGAATAATCATTTATTACTATTTTATCGTTTATATATTATACAGTGACGTTGTTATCGCACAAAACACTTAAGAATGTTTACATTAACAGGAGATGCGGAATGAATCCATCTGAGGATGTATGAATTTCATAGAATAACGCATTTAAAATATAAACATTTTTAAACTGAATTGTTAATATAAAATTTATATATAAAATATGAAGCCTTGTATAATTAAGAAAATTTTGAAAAAAAAATTCTGAAAATTTCGAAATTTGTTTAAACCGTATAAGTGAACTTTAAAAATTAAAAATCTTGGTACAGAACAAAAAAATGTAACAAAATTATTACTTTTCAAAATCTCTATAAAATATCTCATTTCTATATTTTCATATCTATACCATTTGATGTGCATATGAGCATATGTCTAATGATCTTTTTTGACCGACAAAAAATTTCTTTTTGCTCTGTACCTCCGAAACCGCAGGACCTGCTTTCCTAAAAATTTAATCAGTTCTTCATTTTGTCATTATAAATAAAATGTTGTTTGAACTAGTCGTGCATGGCATCGTGCCTTAAGGCAGATTGCTGGAACTTCCCGTACTAAAAATTTAGGTTTAAAAAAAAATTCAATTTTCTCTTAGAACCCTGAGAAAATCGATTTTTGAAATTTTTGACAAAAATTGACCTTTATGAAAAATTTGATTTATTTAATACTTTGACATTATTTGGAAATTTTGAACTTTTTTTTAAAGCATTCGCAATACGTTAGCTGCGTAGAAACAAAATATGGAAGTGCAGTATAACGAATAAACATTGGTATGGAAGAAATGTAAACAAAATTTGTTCTTATTATTAAAATGTCTATATGATATTTTTTGTCACTTTAGCATTTTTTTCACTTTTTTCAATGGGTCACCGAAACCACTAGACCTGCCTTCCCAAAAATTTCACCAATTCTTCATTTCGTCAATACAATTAAAATGTTTTTTGAATCTTACAAATCGGATACTCCGTTCTCTCAAAAATTTCAATTATATTTTTGCCCCGTATCTTCGAATCGGCTCGACCTGTCTTTGCCAAAAACTAATCAGCACGTCTCCTTATCAATACAAATCGAATGTTTTATGAATGATTCAAATCGGTTGACCCGTGTTCCAGAAATCGTCGACAAAAATTTGTATCCGCACACACACCCACACAAATTATACCCTGGAGGTATAAAGGCATTTCCTTCGCTATAATTTTTTGTATAGCGAAGGAAATGCCTTTACACACACACACATACATCCATTTTTTCTGAGGTATACCAACATGTTCAGAAGATCTTAAAACGTGAAGATATGCAAAAATGTGTATTTTCGATTTTTTTGCGATTGCTGTAACTTACCCTACGCGAAGTTAAGTCAATCGGGCGTTTCGTTATCTCAAGAACGGAGTTACCGTTCCCGGTATTTTTTGCTCCGTATCTTCAAAACAGCTGGCTCTGCCTTCGCCAAAAACTAATCAGACGTCTTCCCATTCATAAAAACGAATGTTTTTTAAAATATTCAAACCGGTTAACCCGGGTTCTCGAAATCGTCGACGAAAATTTGTATCCGCACACATACACGCATTTATGCACACATACATCCACTTTTTTAACTATAAACATCCACTTCTTTTTAACAATATAAGATATACCCAAATGATCAGGAGGCCTTGAAACGTACAAACATTTACATTTATTATTTT